CAACGTCCTGGCACGGGTTTTAGCGGACTTGTTCTGCTTCTCGTCGCGATTAGGGGCCTTTTGTACCTTGAACGTTCGAAGCCCAGCCTTAGTTTTGGCCTTCTGGACAAAACTTCGGCTTAGGTGCAGCTTCTTAGCCACATCCCTAACGGAGGCGTTCGGATTTCGGTTGAAGGCCCCAACTACGCGGTTGTGATTTTTGGTGTTGTACGGAATACTTTTTCCTTCACTTCTGGGCTTCCGATCGGTGGTCAACCGTTCCTCGAACCGCTTAATCACTCGCGACACCGTGGAATTCGCGATTCCCAACGTTTTAGCGATGGAACGATGCGAGAGATCCTTGTTCTCGTGATGAATGCGCAAGATTTTATCACGCACCAGCTGTTCTTTCGACTCCATTTCCGCGAGTTTTGATCACAGGACTTTAAAACTTGCAGGATGTAAATAATGCACTATGAACTAAATCCACCCAAATTTTTATTAAATTCTACCCAACGCTTAAAAAGTTAGAGCAATTTCATAGTGTGGCAATTTCATCGTGGACACCCTTTAGTAATACGCCGGACAGATTTTATACCTTGGGGCATAAGGTACTTTCGAAGCGAGTCATCATCAACGTCTGTAGAATCTGGTTCGTAGACCACTCCTTGCACGACGTTCAGCGTAGGGTGGGGGATTACTTCGACCATGGTGCCATCGGTGAGTTGGGTGATCTGGCACAATTTGTTGAACGCTGCCTTTGAGCTAGTGCGGAGTAAATAACGAGTTCCACGACCTTCCTTACTCATCGTTACTTTCGTTGCCTCATTCAAGCCTACCGCTAAATCTGTCGATGCACTGATGATGAAAGGATTGGGCAGCGGTATCTGCTTTTTGTTTATGCCGCTTGCGGTATCCGAAGCAGTATCATCCAATTTGCGACGCATCAGTAGCACCATTGTTTGGCCTATCTCATCTGCACTTAGCATCCAGTCTGGTAGTCTTGTTGCTCCTACTGTCCCCCCGGGGTCACCTGGTTGACCCCCTGAGGAGCCAGATTGATTCCCGGCCATCAGGCCAGGATGCTAAGATAACCTAGCACACAGTTGATTTTTCTTCTCCGACACTTCACTATTCCGATAGGTACCGTTTTCGGTATTGACTTCGACTAGGGCTATCAACAGTATACGATATGCACTATTCACAGAACAATGGTAGGCAAACTAATCAAACGAAGCCACGCTTGTTTGTGGTTCACACTCTCAGCAATAATGTTTTTGGGGTTTTTAAGTATTATTTTGCACTAATAGTCACATATATTTGGCAGTAATCGTTCGGCGATCCGTATATCACTACTTGGTCCAACTTTTAGATATATATTCGAAGAGTTAGTCAGAAAAAATAGTGAAAAAAGACTAAGCACCACAGAGACGCGTATTGACGATTATAGCATAGAGGTAACTCTAAGACCACTGGGTCCCGAAGAAAATCATTATTATTTTTGGCTCACTCAGTACCAGAACAACGGTCCCAAGCAGTCCCAAGCTATTTCACTCACCCCTGCATGTTCTGCATGAATCCACACACCCCTGATGTTATCTGTCAAACTTTCATAGCGAATCAAAACAAACATAGTGTAGTAATAGAATTTCAACTAGAATAGGGTACGTTAATCGTTTGCTTGGGACCAATAGGCTACTAAAGTGGTGAGCCAATTTAAAATCGTTAGTTTCGTATTGATTGTTGATTATAGTGTCCCGAACTCGATTGAACCCAAATTTTGTTAAACCTAAGAATCTACGTAACTATGTAAAACTAGAAATCAACCAAAACTCACTTCTTCAATTCATTCACCTATACGCAAAATTTCAATAAAAAAAACAAACTTATCTAAAATCTTAAATCCGAACTAGAGTCTGAGCATAAAGCTGCAAACAAAATTTTTCCAAAAATATATACAACTTCTGGCCAAAACCCGTTGGTTGGGCGCCAATGTGACAAGCGTGGAAGCTCAACAAAAACGAACCTTGCTTCCGCGCCAGACAGCAAAGCTGTCGCAAAGCCGCGATGTGACGAATGCCCGATGAGACTGCTGGTAGGATCACTTCCGAACACCTAGAACACGTGCAACCAAATATCCAACAAACTAGTCCAGAATTCTAACTGAAATCATTAAGGTTCAATTTACTTTGATGCATTTTCAAAAAATTCAAAAGCAGTTTTTTTCGACGCATTATTTCAGATTGCTAAAAGCTCGCGTCATTTTGTGTAGAATAGCAAAAGGAATCGAATAGTGCGAGCATTTTGCAATCTGAACTAATGCGTCGAAAAAAACTGCTCTTGAATTTTTCGAAAAAGAATCAAAGTAAATTGAACCTTAAATACGAGTAATACGACAGCCCCATAAAGTTTAAAATTTTATAGCATATATTCTCGATCAGTCTAGTCAAGACGCATAATACGTTCGCCTGCGTTTATACTTCTCTGCCTAACACGTCTAGTCCAATTGGATTAATTTCCTCTTCGTTTATTGTCTTATAATCTAGTACATCACCTGAATGAACGGGGTTTTCCGGCGGCTGATGAACCGTAGGTGGCTGGTGACACTCGATGACTCCGGAGCTGTAGCGTTGCGTACCGGTACGATGCGACGAGACGATGAACACTATGTTGAGAAGTATCGATGCGATAGATGCGATGAACTCGCCTCCCCGTGTGCTTTATGCTGGCAGCGGGCGGTGCTTGACGGTCGAAGTACAGCAGGTGACCGTTTTCTCGACCGCTAATATTCTCGGCAGTGTATAAGGACGTTTACTAGGTCCTCGTATGCCGTTTTCGAGAAGGGAAGCACGGATTGAAAGCGTGACGTCACTGGATACCTACAGTATCGTACGGTAGTATGACGGACCGAATGGTGGAGTACAGGGGAACCGCAATTTTCCGTACCGATGGCGTGCTTCCGGGGATGTAACGATCTTCTCTCACGGCGGTCGTATGGAAATGACGGGTATACGACGTGACCGTTCCCTGACGGTACTCTCCGGCTTTCTAGGGTGGGATCTCGCACGTGGTGACTTCCGGGGGCAAACCAGGTTATGCCCTAACCGGCGACCTTCGTTTGAAGGAAATCTTCAAACGACGAATGTACTTTAAAATCTAACACTTGGTGGAAATTGTATCAAAAGAATTACCTGATAAACGTTTTGCACTACTCGCAGAGGTATCTTTGGCATTTAATTGTTCACAATAATTTCTTGCCTTTAATTTCTGACTAGAAAAATTATTACAATTTTTAGGTTTTGTAGTTTTTTTCCTAAACCCCTTTTGGGTTCTATTGTACATTCTACCGCGAGGACGGGTTCGTTTTTTATTGGTTGAATGTAACCCCATATGAACGTCATGAATTTTTTTAGCTTGTCGCTACTCGCTACCAACGTGTTCGAGGGGACTTGTCCCATTGTAATTCTGTACATTTAAATTTAAATTTAAATTATATTTATATCATTGTAAATACATTTTTTTTAACCCCGTTACATCTTTTATAACCTCACTATCGGTTATCTGCTTGATAGTCATAGCAAGTGCGAGAGCAAGCGAGCACTGAATGGTTGATTATGGTAAAAAAAAATTGATCAATTTTCAATAGTTTACTATTGATAAACAACTATAATATTTGCACCAAACAAATCTTACCTCAAATTTTAATCAAGTGGTGTAATAAGATTCGAAATCCATTCATAATTTGACAGTTTTTTTTAATTTAAAATAGCAGCGAGCGTGACGTGATTTACGAAAAGATTAATGATTGAATTTTAACTCAAATTTCAATACTGCTCGGCCGCTTGCATCAATGGAAAACTGGGATCGTCCCATTTTACAACGGTATGACTGTTTATGCTCTGAAAGTGATCAGGATTGAGGTGCTACAGTCTGAGGATAACCAATAGTGCATATTTTACGAGTTTAAAAATCGCTTCGGTAAAATCTTAAAAAACCGACAACGCTATTTTCGTTCTTACGTTTCACTCTGTAGCATCTTGCAAACAAGCTGTCTGAACTGCCAAAAATAGTGACGTTTAATCTTTACATGCAATGATCTAATCAAAGTAAAAGGTAGTTAGGCCAAGGGGGCGACACATCTAAATCTCAATTCTAGATGCTCAACAAATCTCACACTAGCAAATCAATCTCCGACAAATCTTCTTTCATTTCTCGCATCTACTTGCATCGCGCATAATATTTTTGCAGGAAATCTTCAGAATCGTCATCAATCTTCTTTCTATCTACTAAGCGTGTGCGCAGCAAAGCACAGCAAAACACAATTAGATAGAGTCGCTCCCCTCGAGTTAGGCTGTGTTTCATTTGGTGAATTTTCACTTAAATTTGACAGATGTAAAATTTTCAAATAACCTGCTATTGTACCAGACTATTTTCTGACCGACCAGGAATCAATTTTGACAAACATCTCGAAAATCGGACGATCAACAAATCAACATTTTCTAGCATTTTAATTTATTTCGAAGCGTAAAATTTAAGTGAAAAATTACCAAATGCAGCACAGCCTTATTTATTTTTTAATCATTGAATTTCGATTAATTTGAATGACAAAACAGAGTGACAGTAATCTATACCTAGATCGGATGTTTTTTTTTCGTATCGGTACCTCGAACCAGGGTTGCCAATATAATCTGGATTTAACCCAGAAGAAAAATCATATTGGCATATTGATTCGTCGGTGCTTAAAATTGAACATATGAGATTAGAGATAAAGCTTGCTGTACGTTCCATAAGAGCAACTAGATTAAAACTCTGCATCTATAAATATATCTCAAATATTTCCTCTTTGAAAACAGAAAATAAAACTGAAACAGTGGCAACCCTGGCTCTGCATGGCTGATGCAGCTGGGTACAAATGTAGTTTGTTCTACCTACACCTTATTCCTTATAATATGGTATACCTTGCTCCTCTGACAGTTGCTTTACAGTTCGGGTATTCCGTATCGCGACGTCATTACCTTAAATGTGCTGACTGTGATCGCAAGTGGACTGAAAATGTAGCTTCTCGTTGAATAATCAAGCAGGAAAAAGCAACCGAAAAGTGACGCTGCCATTTTGTGCCATTTAAATTCGCGCAGTGAGTGCTAGGATCCGGCCGTAATTGAAACCATTTAAGCAGTAATTGCATTAAAAGCTTTCCGAGAGTGCCATCATGGCAGGAGCTGAAAAGTGAAGCGAATCGAGGACAAACTACTAGTCGTGGCTGTGTGCACGTGAAAGGTGTCGGATTATGTCAGAGTCGGATCAGCAGCTGGACGACGATGCCTCCGGACTGGATGCTGCGAATCCCAGCTGGCATCGATTGCTTTTGGTGGGAAAATGCAGCAGCAGCAGCTTCCTTTCCGATGCGACGACAGTGGCACAGGAGGAAACGGAAGAAGAGGACGAAATTTTGAGTGTGCTGCGGAATGAGAGCAGTGGGAATTATGATTCGGGGAACTTTTCATTTTCGGAAAGCTCCAACAAAGGAAAGACCGTGGCAAGTCCCGCAGGGTGTGGACAGGACCTTCATCAGAGATTCGTACAGTTGAATACAGAGCTTTACCAAGCAAAGACGGAGCTGCTGACGTACAAGTACAAATGGAATGAAATTCGAAACGAGGTAGAGTTACAATGGAACAAGAAATACCACCAGGTAGTCGATGAGAAGGTAGCATTGCAGCAGGAGGTAGACGACTTGAAGCAGCAGCTGCAAACAGTGGTGGATTCCGTTGGCTTTAGTGAGCAACGTTTGGAAATTTTTAAATTGCGTTCCGATTTGGACCAGGTTAGAATCCAATTGGAATGCAAGGATCGTGCCAATGGGATCCTGAAAGAGAAGATTACCGAACAGTACTGTGATAAGGAGAACCTTTCGTTGGAGGTTAGGAAGCTGGAGAAAATGCTGCTGGAGGTCCGGAGTGAACTGAGCTCAACGAGGACCTCCGAAGTGTGGTTCCGGAATGAGTTACATGTGTGCCAAAATGTGATTGCCAATCTGAGGGAAAGTAATCAGTTGTTTGACAAACGACTGAGTCAGGAAAAAGTGCATAGTGATCGGATGAAGGTAGAACTGCAGCAGGTAATACGTAGTGCAGAGCAAGTCGAACGGAAAGCGATAGCCGAGAAGTCCGGTCTTCTCGCGAGGCTCGAAACCATTGAGGCGTCCAGTCGATTAGAGAAATTATCTGATTTGATAGAGCAAGAGCATGTATGCAAACATAATGATGCTTTGGAAAAAAATGATTCGCTTCTCGAATCAAACAAGAATCATGAGCGTGAAAACGATCAGCTTCGATCGAACATCCAGCTGCTCGAAAGCACTCTCTCCAATCAGGAGGCCATCATTCAATCGTACAAAGGCAAAGAAGCGGAAACCACGTCCAGACTATCTTCGATGGAACAGGAAATATCAAGGCTGAAAAATGCCAACGCAAGAACGGTGGAGCAAAACATTGAACTGCAAGCATCCATCGCACGGCAGAGCTTTGCCAAGCGAGAGCTAGGTGTCAGCATTGGACATCTGGGGGCGCAGCTGAAAGTTTTATCGATAAACTTTGAAAACACGCGACGGGCGCTCAGTGTGAAGGAATTTGAACTTGGGAATCTGCGAAAGGAATTCCTTCAGTTAACCGAGCGCTGCAGGAAACTGGAGGGATGCCGGATGGAGCTGGAGAACACATTGAAGGCAAGTGAGCTGCAAGCAGCAGCGATGTACGGTCAGTTGCTGGAGAACTTCCAAAAGATTCAGTCGAGGAACTTGGACCTGGAACTGAAACTGGGTCAGTACGCTGAGTATGATGAAAAGTTCCGGAAAAGTGAGGAACTGGTCCAAAAACTACGACGGGAGATTTCCGAGCTGCAGGAAAAGATTGTACAGGAAGAAGAGGTTGGTATGAGTCCCACTAGCAGCAGTAGCAGTGCCGCGGAGGGTAGTACTTGCGGTAGTAGTAGCAGCAGCAACAGCCGTTCGGAGGAAAAGCTTACGAAAAGTGGCAGTGTATGTCCGAAGCACGGGAATCCAATACCGGAAGACGATACTAAGGAGTTGAAAATTCTGCTGAAGGTGATTGAGAGTGAACATCGGCAGAAACTGAAGCGATACGAGTTGAATAATCGTACGCTGTTCAAGAAGGTCAAGGAGCACAGTCAAGCTAGAAAGGTGGCAGAGCAGCATGTAGAGGCGTTGGAAAAGGACGTCAGTAAAATGTCATCGCTTCAGTGTGAAATGGCTGGAATTCGTGAGAAGAACCTTCTGCTAGAAGCAGATCTGGAAGCGTTGCTCAAAGAATGCCACCAGCTGAAGAGTGAAAAGGCTCGATTGGTATCGTCGATGGAGAACAACTGCCTGCTGAAGATCGACGAAGATATCTGGAGCTCGTTTCAGCGGATTTTCTCCGATCTCCGCGACAAGCAGGTGACGGACAAGGAGAACAAGCGACTGAAGGAGCTGCTCCAGATCAGTGGAAGAAAAATTACTCAAATGGAGGAGGAACTGAAATATTCCCTGTCAACTTCGGAGGAGAAGAGCACGGTGATTGAGAATCTAAAGCTGACCAACGAACTGCAGCGAGTGGAGTCGGACGATATCCGGTCGGAGTTAACGGTGAAAAGTATCCAGCTGGAGGATTCGCACCGCATGATTTCGGATATGAGTACCAAGCGTAGCTCGCTACAGGACTCCATCAACGGGCAGCAGATGAATGAAGCGAAGCTTCGGACGGAGATTGACTTTCTTCTGCAGCAGTTGCAGGTGCGGGATGTTCAGCTGGAGACGGCCCACGAGCGGCTGAGGCTGTACGAAGAGTCCGAACGGATACTGGCTGAATCGAGGCAACGATTCTTCGACGATCTGCAGGCGTTGAGGGATGAGATAATAGCCGAGAAGCAGGAGAAGCAGCAGCTGCAAGATGAGGTGAAGACACTGCGGGACAATATGGCACAACTGGTGGATGGTGACGATAAGGTAAGGGTGTTAGCTGAAATCCAATTTTTCCTAGGGGGTGATTTTAATGTATTTGTATTTGTGTATTTTCAGAACTTCCACTCGGTCAGCCAACCGGACAGTGTCAACGTTTCTTCCGGTGCCAGTTCGGTTCCAACTGGGGCAGTACCCAGCTATGACGAACAGGCACTTAAGGCGCTGCTGGAGGACTGCTCTCGGCGGAATAGTTCCATTCGGCCACTGCAGGAGTGCGTGGCTTCGCTGCGGGCGGAGATGAACAACCTGAATGCGGTGGTACGGCAAAACGGGGCCCAGCGGTACCATGTGGCGTCGTTGATGGAGGAGCTGCAGGATGCGACCAACGGTACGTACAATGCTAGATGAGCTTAGGTTTCGACTTCAGGAAGTTGGAGCAGTTATCTGCGCACTTTCAACTGGTGTGAAAGTGATGCTCAGATGGTTGCAGAAGAGGTTAGGTTTGAAGGTTAGCGAAGAGCTTAGGTTATTTATGCAGCAGGATGATCTTTTCACGGCAAACTTCATTTGGATTTGGAACTTAAAAGGGTTTAAATTGTTTACAGAATACTCACGTTTGCTTTCGCGGTCGAATATTTATTGGTTTTTGCTTAAAAACTTAATTTTTTTCTGTCGGATCTTTGGCTTGATGATTTCTTCGGTAGCGGATGATCCCCAATGTCGCTGTCAAAAGTTACTTTCTTCTCTAGTTTAGAGAGTGTTTCGCTTTCTGAGATACTTTTCCAAAAACACGTGTATGAGCCGCTTTTTTCTCCGGTCAAGGAGAGAAGTTTTCACTCGAGAGTCTTTTCGGATTCAATGAAGAATCTGGAGTGAGCTTTGAACTTTTAGTGGAACTACTTGGGTTTTTTTCTCGGGTTTTCTCCTGCGATATTTTCCACATTTTTACGACTCTTATTCAGGTAAAAAACGGCGAAAATGGCTGCTTAGTTCAGCACTAAAACTGCATCGAAAGAGAGGACTAATTTATATTCATGAATTAAATCGTTAAGGGTTTCACTTTTTTCAACTATTCCTTCTAGTGAACGTGCACGTTTTACACTCTTTAGTAAATTAGTATGTTCTCTCTTTATATATATTCATCAATTGCTCTTAGTCTATTCATCAGTTTCAATAAGAAAATTTATGTTTGTATTTTCAATAAATTTTTATGTTCTGGAATTATTCTCTATTCATATAAGTTCATATTGATCACTAGCTTACACATAAAGTATTTCGTTGTTCCGCTCTCTGAGTCATACCTGTTTATTTTCGTCTCATCGGTGCTGCGGTCTTCAGGGTGATCAGGTTTGATCGTTCGCCCCTGGAATAATATGCTCCCAATTGTCGCTGCGCTCGTTGTTGCGTCCCACAGGGTGGTCTGGCTTTGACACTTGAATCAATTTCTTCTTCTGTTGCTTGTATCCGTACAAAACAGTGATGACAATGTAAATTTTCAAGGTCCGAAAAATTTCCCCGCTGTGTGGTTTCGAGGTATGTTTTTTTTTTAAATCTTGGCCAAGCTTTGAAGTTTCCATCAAAATATGGCAACACCAGTAATGACTGTCTTAAAATGTATTTTTCCGTTGTGTTTTGTCCGTTAACATTGATACCATTAATTTTTTTAATGATCGCTTCGAAAGCTTCTACTTGGCTATCTGCATTAGTCTTGTATTCTTTCCTGTTTTGAAGAGTTTGTATTTGCTCTTCCTGTGTAGCAAATTTTTCACTCATCTTGTTTTTTTTTAATTAATAAATTTCTACCTGATAATATACTAGCGTCAACTCTGATTTTACTCACACTTTAATCTGAACTTTGTTGATATTAATGGCCTAGCAGCTCGCCATTGGTCTGCTCCTTGCCACTGGACGTCCTTCTAGGATTTCGGTTGGCCTATAGCTTTTGTGATATTTTCGGCCTTCAGCCGTGGGAGTCTGGATTTGATGAACTGGTAGCCTGGTTGCTTGTGGTCTGCTTCTGGCCTTCAGCCGTGGGAAAGTGCGGCGTTTTGTTACTCGTTCATGTTCACTTCAACCAATGTCCGGATTTTTCTGAAACTTTTCAGATCACTTGGCTATTAGCCTACTTGGCTTCACGAGCCCAAATGTTCGAACTATCTGACCTTTGTCAGATTGACACTTTGGCTCAACGGCCCACTTGGCTTTGAGAAGCCCAAATTTTAGAAATGTTTTTCGGTCGAAACCTACTTACAATTCCAAACAGTCAGATTTATCCTGACTGGAAATTCGAAGATTCTAAACGCGCAGCCGTCCTCCAATGGTTCCTCTCTGGAGCCACCATGTAATGTCACTGCCAAAAGCTACTTTCTTCTCTGATTAGAGAGTCTTTCGCTTTTGTGACACCTATGCCAAAAAACAGCTTCTTGAAGTTACTTTTTTCTCCGTTAGGAGAGAAGTTTTCACTTCTAAGGATCGAGAGTTTTTCGGATTCAATGAAGAACCTGGAGTAAGCTTCAAACTTAACTTTATTTTCAATTTCTGTACAAAATGATCTTAGGTCTACGTGTTGCATAAGTGATTTATAATTATGTAAAAATCTTTCCTGTTCTTACGGAATTTTCCATGTCCCTTTTAATACAGGGCCTTTCACTAGTTTCCTAACTTTAAGCTGAAAAAATGCCACTTGTCCTTCAAAGGGCTAACTTATATATTGAGTCCTTATGTACTATGTCCTTTTCAGAACCGGGATTTGGTCATCATTTTTCTAAGTTTATTGGTTTATTTTACTCAGGTCTGAAAAGGTTAACAAATAAGAATTTGAAACATTTGTAGCGCTTAAACAGTAAATCATATCCTTCCTTAAGGATAAACCGAGAGGGAAGATTATGCCTTATGGTATACGCACGTGGGCGTGTTATTCTTCACTCGAAAGCATGAGCGTTCCTAGATAAATAGTGCAGGCATATTATGTAAACGAGCGATCGTTTTTGTTTTACCCTACTTTTCATTTCATTTTCTTGAAACTGGTATCGACATCAACGGACCTTGTGCAACTATGTGGATTTGCTTATGGCTTTGATCTGTAGATTACTTGTCTCGCGGTAACAAAAACTTATTCCCTGAGAAGTTGGCACATTAAACATCTTAGGTAGTAAAAATTATCCTCCTAACTTATGACGATCTGGTCTAATGATATTGTGCATCCTAATAACTGCATTTAGCACCTCACATCCAAACTTGCTATATAACATTATCCTAACTGTTGATGGGAGGCTACCAGTAGCTAACTTAACTAAACATGCTACTTCCTCATTAGTACCTCCTGCATCTTTAATCACCTTAACATTACCTTCCTTGGCTCGTTCTGTCCTGGCCTGATCTCTGGACTTGGTCAGTTTAGGTAGTGTTTTCGAGTAACTAACAATCCATCCGGGAATTTGGCAGGTGTTGACCACCTGATTGCGCAGAGGAGTTGATGGCAACAATTAAGTCAGCTTTCCTCTCATAGACAGCTTTGATAACAGCATCATCATGCATGTCATCAATTGACTTTCTAGAGAAAATTGCTCCAGCCAAAGGCGTCAAAACAATAAAGCCAGACTCCACTGCAATTGGCGTATACATGTTAAGTATATGAATTGAAACTAATGACACCTGTTTCATGGTTAAGGTGATGCCTCTGTTACCAGAAACCTTAGGGGCATCCAATGGGGCAATGGACCATGAGGTGTTCAAATTCCTGAAGTCAACGACTAACCTCCATTTTTTTGAAGCGTCGTCTGACTTTTTAACTTAACTTTTACCTTTTTGAATTTAACCTAAACATGCAGGATCCGTATTCGGTTTCCTCATCAGGATCCGTCATCAGGATCCGTATTTGGATTTCCCATCAGGATCCACGTTCTTATGCTCTATCGGGATACATATTTGGATTCCTCATCGGGATCTTTATTCGGATTCCCTATCGGGATTCGTTTTCGGATTCCCTATAAAGAGCTTTCTTCAGATTCTCAATCGGGATTCATTATCGGACTTAACTTTAACTTAACTTTTACCTTTTTGAATTTAACCTAAACATTCAGGATCCGTATTCGGTTTCCTCATCAGGATCCGTATTCGGCTTTCCCATCGGGATCCACGTTCTTATGCTCCATCGGGATACATATTTGGATTCCTCATCGGGATCTTTATTCGGATTCCCTATCGGGATTCGTCTTCGGATTCCCTATAAAGAGCCGTCTTCAGATTATCCATCGGGATTCGTTATCGGATTCCCCATCGGGATCCGTCTTCTGATTCTTGATCAAGATCCGTCTTCATATTACCCAACGGAAGTCGTCTTCGGATTCCCCATCGGGATCCATCATCGGATCCGTCATTGTTGAATAATACGTCGTCTGTTTATCTTGCTACCTATTCAAAAAGAATTCATTTGTCCACCGTCTTGCGGCGTGCATTTGACATTTTTACGTTGAGTTTCTTCGATACCCAGAAGGGGACCTTTCTATATCATAACTTTTAGAAAGCTTGAACTTAACATTAACTTAACTTTAACTTAACTTTTACCTTTTTGAATTTAACCTAAACATGCAGGATCCGTATTCGGTTTCCTCATCAGGATCCGTCATCAGGATCCGTATTCGGATTTCCCATCAGGATCCACGTTCTTATGCTCTATCGGGATACATATTTGGATTCCTCATCGGGATCTTTATTCGGATTCCCTATCGGGATTCGTCTTCGGATTCCCTATAAAGAGCCTTCTTCAGATTCTCAATCGGGATTCATTATCAGACTTAACTTTAACTTAACTTTTACCTTTTTGAATTTAACCTAAACATTCAGGATCCGTATTCGGTTTCCTCATCAGGATCCGTATTCCACATCCAAACTTGCTATATAACAGTATCCTAACTGTTGATGGGAGGCTACCAGTAGCTAACTTAACTAAACATGCTACTTCCTCATTAGTACCTCCTGCATCTTTAATCACCTTAACATTACCTTCCTTGTAAACTACGCTTCGTTGTAGTTTCAAAAGAATCGTGTAGACTTCATGCCTGGGCTTTCTTTGCCAACCTACAGGTCTTAACCCGTAGGAGTAAGAAATACTTATTACTTTGTTCAGAGTAGTCGATTGGCCAAGATCGGAGAACCTCCGGTTGGGTCGAGCTCAGAACGAATAATCCTCCTCGTATATTTCAGCGTTTCTTATTTATAGGGGTTATCGAATACAGTTTTCCTATGAGACAGCTGGGGCGACATCAATAAATGCATCCTTTGCAGTTTTACAAAATTGGGTTTTTTCGCCTAATAAACATAAAGCACTGCGGCCGGTACGGGTTTCGCTGTGCGAGGTAAAAAGTGGTAACGAGTAGAGAGACTGAAGTAGAGACACAGAAGGTGTGCTTCTTTAAGCGTAATTATAATTTGCTGCCTGTGGGATATGTATGTAAATTAGCTATGGGTTTGTTCTCATGCTACACCATCCCCCTTAGAGAGAATAATGTAACAGGGTGGAATTATTCAAACATAAATGGTCTTTCCCCAATTGTCTCGAACATTTTTATTGCTTGTTGATTTTGTTCTTTTTTCTTCTTTTTTTTTGTTTTTTTTTTTTTTTACTTTTTTATTTTGCCTAACCGAATTTCGCACTCTCAGTGACATTGAGAACTTTCACCCATTCCATTTTTTTACTATTATTTTTTTTTACTTTCTTATGAAATTGGGCTCGGTAAATGGCTTATTTTTTACACTTTTTGAAGGAAAAAAAAAAATTTTGCTTAGTTTTTGATCAATCTGTTTTTATGAACTAAAATTGTTTTTCCTGTAGTTGTATTTTTAATCTCGCAATTTGGTTCACATATTGATATAACTTCGTATGGTCCAAGATAAAATGGATCTAATTTCCTCCTATTTTCATTTTTCAAAAAAACTAAGTCTTGTAGTTTGATATAAATTGGGTTTAGAGTTTGTTCATGTTCCTTTTGTCTCTTCATTTTTTGCTCTATTAATTTTGCTTTTGTTATTTCGTGAGCTATTTTTAATTTGTACTGTAGTTCATTCTTAAACATATCAAAATTATAAATTGGTTCATTAACACTGTCGAAATTGTCTTGTGGAAGGTTTGCTTTTTTACCGAATACTAACTCAAATGGAGTGAAGTTATGATCTGTGTGGGGTGTAGTGTTGTATGAAAATTCGTAATATTTGACCCAGTCATCCCAGTCTGATTGGTGTTCATTGGTGAATGACCGCAGATATTCGTTAAGACATCTGTGGTTTCTCTCCAATGATCCAACTGATTCTGGATGATAAGGTGTTGAAAATGTTTGCTTTATCTGTAGGAGTTTGCATACCTGCTCAAGGATCTCATTTTTATATTCTGTTCCTTGATCAGATCGCAATTCCATAAAATGTCCATATATTAGAATAAAGTTTTCCACTAGGGCTTTCGCTATAGTGTTGGCTTCTTTATTTTGAATCGGAATTACTACAATATATTTGGTTAAATCGCACTGGATTGTCACACAGTAGCGATTGTTATTAATGGTTCTCGGTAGAGGTCCTACCGTATCTATTGATATGATCTCAAATGCTCTCGATGGTGTTGTGGTGATAACCATCGGTTGTTTTGTATGCTTGATAATTTTGTTTCTTTTGCACAATTCGCAGCGCTTTACGAATTGAGCAATAGACCCTTTCATATCACGCCATTTATAATATTGACGAACACGTTGGTACAAT